CGGAGCAGACCAGCTGGGGTGCTGACGGGTTGGTCCCGCAGCGCCGCCGCTGCTCCTACTGAAACTGATGAGCGGTGGGCTTGGGGAAGTGGCAGAGCAGAGCAGCTGGGGTGCTGACGGGTTGGTCCCGCAGCGCCGCCGCTGCTCCTACTGAAACTGATGAGCGGTGGGCTTGGGGAAGTGGCAGAGCAGAGCAGCTGGGGTGCTGCTGGGTTGATCCTGCAGTGTCGCCCTTCACCCCCCTGCTCGGCGATAACTACTGCAGTCTGGGGGGTGGGGAGCCTGCCCCCCTCCCGGAAACTCTCAGTGGCGGTGCAGGGCTGAGCGCAGCCAGAACGGGGCAAGTTCGTGGACTTAGCTCTCACAGCTGCGTGCGGCTTCCCCCGCCTTCCTGCAAAATGGCGGAGGGTTCGTCCCTCGCCGCACCGTTCCCTGCCCATCCCTCAGCCCCTGGCCAGATGCAGTGCGGGTCCCGGCAGACCCGTCACAGGGGTATAATTCCCTTCCCCTCTTCTCCCCTTCCCTTTCCCAGCTGCAAGCGTCCATGGGGCTCACAGCAGCTCCAATTGTCCTGCTGGCCGGAGCAGTTCCGGGTTCCAGTTGGTGCCGGACTATCGGGAGTGCCAGACCACTGGATGCCGGACAATTGGAGTTTTACTGTATTTCCAAAATGTACTATATGCTGTACAATACCAAAGTTTACAAAGATGAAGCACAACACAATATTGTGCATGATGACAAAATTAACTTAAGTGTACAAATGTACACAAAAGGGAATGAAAGCACTTTATGAAAGAAGGAAACATTTCCATATCCATAACTGACAGGTAACAGTGGGTGTCAATGGGCACCTAACATTGTCATCAATACATTTTTCAGTTAACAGGCAGAGGTCAACACAAGATTAGCTTTCTGTCTTTCTTTTTCTCATCAGCATCTGAGAAAGTGAGTTTTAGCTCACCAAATCTTATGTTCTAATACCCTAATAAATGTTTGTCCTTAAGTGCCACCTGAGCCCTTGTTGTTTTTGCTGAAATAGACTAATACAGCCACCTCTCAAACCTAGTCTCTCTTAGGGTACGTCTACACTGTGCGGCTATTTTGGGATACCAGAGGTATCCCGAAATAGCCACTCTGTGTCTTAACAAGTTACCTGTTATTTCAAAATATTTTTCAAAATAACGAGCACACTATTTCAGCATCCCTGTAAACCTTGTTCCAGGAGAGTTAAGGGATGTTTCAAAATAGTGCGTTATTTTGAAATTTCGCACTGTGTAGACATGCTAAATTTCAAAATAAGCTATTTTGAAATAGAATCAAAGTAAGATAAGCAATTTGCATAGCACAAATTGTGTATCTAATTTTGAGTTTAGGGTACTGTGTAGACGCACCCTTAGTGTTGCAGAATGAATTGGCCATACTTTCATATGCATTTCATATTACTACCATTCTAAAAGGTAAAGACTTAAAATTTAAGTAAAAGACTTAAAATCTTATCCATTCTTAACTTCAAAAGGAAAAAAGACACTTTTTCTTTTTCAAATTTGTCTTGATTATTGGTAGAACTGGTCAAAAAATTTCTTAGTTTCAATGTTTTCGACAAAAGAGACAAAAAGAGAAAGAAAGGAATAAATGTTTTAGAAAAAAAAATCACCAACTTTTCTCCAAAATTTCGACATTCTAAGCATGTCTGACATGCTTTCCTGAATGGGGTGTTTGACTTCATTAGGACTACTAAAGGCTTAAATTGTTCTACTGAAGCTATGTTGATTTAAACCAGCTGAGCCTCTGTTCCTCAGAATGAGTTATACCTCTAAAAACAAAAAATTGTTATCTCTCGTTTTTAATTTGTTCCCATTGGTATTTTATTAATGAATTCCTGCTTGATGTCAAACTTTTGTTTTAATTAGGTCACATACTCTGCTTCCTTTTAAATTGCAAAAGCTCTGAATACCAAGAAATAGCTTAGCGTTAATGCTTTCCATTTCCATGGTAATCTCATTGCACTGAAAACATATTATTTTATTTCTATTCTTGGTACCTTACTCTTTTATTATTAGTTTGATGCTTATTTTTCAAACAGGTGATTTTTCTTGAAGTATAAATGGGCAAATCTTCTGAAGTATGACATAAAATAGCTTTTTTTATACGTTGCCTGGAGAGTTCATCAGAAAATTCATAAGCTTATTTTTCCCAGTTTTAATGAGTGTGGAAGGACAGCTCTATTTGTGAAGCTTCTCTTCTTCAGACAACAAGAGCCTCTATTTATTACCAGCACTTGTTACTGCCCTTGACCATTTCAAATATTCTAGAATGACTTTTTTAACATGAACTTGGCAAATAGTGTCTCATGAAATAGTGCCACAATTTATATAACCTGAGCCAAATGCTAAGGTCTTTCCTTAGTCTTTTCTTAGATTAATTCTTATTAATTTTTCTGAATGGGAGGAGAATATGAATTGAGCAAAGACCTCAGGGTCTGACTGTGTAGACAGATATAAAGAAAGTATTCAAAGAGGGAAAATTATATCAGCAAATGCTTTGCTCTCCAGAGAATGGACTACTGTCTGATCAGTTAAGTGTCATCGCAAACCTAACACACAGCATGAAATCTTAGCCCTACTGAAGTGAATGGAGCCAGAATTTCACTCTGCAGTAAGCTGTCTGTCATAAGTAATCATGTTCTTTAAAACAATTCTCCATTTTAATAGGTTTTACTTCCCATAGGAGATCTGTTAGGAAGAGAGTTACTGGGTGCTTGAGAGACAGACAGACAGAGACAGAGAGAGAGGCTGGTAAGGAATTATAAATTACTTTGTTTTTGCACTTTGAAAAAAATTAAAGCAAAGTCAAAACGGAGAATTATGTACAAATCAAGGCCTGAGGCTTCATCAATATCTATATTTTTGTTAATAGGAGACCAAAAGTCTTTATAAAATGTTTAGGCTTAGAGCTTTAAGGAGATAGATGCTATAAGATGACGGCTAAGCAATTTCTCCAGGTTTCCTTCTTGACAACTTTATGGAGGAGAGAAGCCTTTTTAATAACAGGACATGGGTCTTCTCAAAGACAGTAGATTAAATGCCCTGGAATTAAAACTACAATTGGCAGATCCCTGAAAATCTGCAAATATCCATAAAAATGGTCCATGGATCAGATGTAGATACAAATTTTGTATCTAAAGCTCTGCAAGTTTGCTGCTATCCATGGGTCATTTTTGCAGACTGAATGCACGTACAAACAGGAATATCTTCAGAGGAGTAGCCGAGTTAATCTGTAACTGGAAAAACTTAAAAACAACAAATAGTCTAGCAGCACCTTAAAGACTAACAAAATATGTAGATGATATCATGAGCTTTCGTGTGTACAACCCACTTCTTCAGATGATTGGAGGGGGGGGGGGGGAAGGGAAGGGAAGGAGAGT